ACTTTTCAGCTTTTCTTGTGAAATTTAAGTTTTCGCGCAATACATATGAAAGAATGATCACACTTAAAATACGTTTTAAATTAATACCGTCATCCAGTTCGATAAACGCTGAACGTATTTTATCTAAATCAGAAAAGGGCTTTAGCTTTTACTTTGAGTCATAAAAATAATTTATGAATGTTTTTAATAATTAAAATGGATTACGCAACGTTACACACATTATGTCAGCATTGACTTTGTTTCAGATAGTATTTGTGCGTGTCTTTTTCCTCAATATTTAAAAGTTCTCTAAATTAAAAATTATTTTTTACTAAAACTTTCCACAAGTGACTTTGATCATTATTTCCCTGGACTCTTCATATGAAAGTATGCACAGTACGGCAGCCTCAATCAATATCTCATTCAATAGCTTCCGTATTTTTCTGCGAGATTTTTCACACGAATAAAAATACGGAAACTATCCTACCTAATCTATATATAATAACCTGTCTGTTTTTAGTATTTGCAAAGTAAAGGTGCAATTTTTACATATGTAGGTATTATTAATTTTACCGTCTTAACTCTTTATATTTAGAATAGAATAGCCACAATCAAAAAAATTAAATTAAAAAAAACAAAGCAAAAGTCAGAGAAAAAACAACGAAGCAAGTAAATAAAATTTAAACAGTCAACACAATTTGAATTGCTGTCATGTGCGCAGCTGTGGCGTATGCAAAAGGATCCACTCGGCTAATGCCAAAACCGAGATTAGGCCTTGACGCTGGTTTTAAATGGAGTAGTTGTTTCGATCCTGACATTAAACATAAGCGAGTAATTTTCAAAACACCGGGTTGACTTTTGATTTCTTTATCTCCGATTACTAGCCAGATAGACATTAGTATATTTAAAGAGATATAGTATGCGTGTTCGATGCATGCAAGTCACGAGTAACTTGAATGCAAATATCATAAGTATTCATAAGGTAAACTGGGACACAGCGCACTCATTTATACACTTGGTTGACATTTTAGGGGTCGTCCTATGCAACCACCAGAATTTAAAGTGTTCATTACGGGCTAATAACTAATGCTTATATTGCTAAATTTATACTTACAACATTGATTTCTCTAAATTACTTTGTACATGCATCATTGTAGTAAATAAAATTCCAATTAACTATATGCATATAAAACATTATTGATTCGTTTGTAAAGATACGATACCCTTGCTGTAAGGCAAGTAATAGTAAGGCCATCACAGACCATTTTAGATATGTCTGTGAAGGCCACATATTTTGTTTTTTTTTATTAGGTCTTTTAAGCTGAGTTACAAATACCTTTTACATTACAATTTTACGTTACGCTTTAATTTTTTACATTATATATATATACTACATATATATATTTTTTTATAACATCAAGTGACTGGACGAACAGGTCGTGCGCGTGATAGTAAGCTACACGCCGCCCGTCCATAACAGTTACAGTGCCACTCAGAGCTTTAAATTGCAAAGATCTGAGGGGGACTACCACTGCGCCCGTCAGCCTGGGACATAAATTGACAAGTCCCATGTGCCTGTAATTTTACCAGCACCCTTACCCTTCAAAACCGAAACTAACATTACTGCTTGGCGGCAGAAATAGGTAAGGTGGCAGTTAGTACTGCCAAATAAGTAACTCACTCACTCGCCCTGGACGAACTCATTCACATGGAGCTCTACTGCTACTAATATATCGCACTGCTATTACAATAGGGTTGTAACTCAAAATATGAGAAATTCAAGTTTATACCGTTTCTGAATATAAAATTTGATTCTCTACGCGCCAATAAAACCGTCGTCGTTTGAATATTGTAAGAAACAACTAAAAGATGGCGCTGTGTTGCACCATCTTCCGTTACGATCGGAGTTCGATAAGGTGAGGACGTGTCGTAGTGTTTTTTATTTCGAATTACAGAGGTATTTTTGACTCAGGTATGTAAAACTTACATGATTAATTCGTGTTAGTACAATATAGATGATTTGAAACAAAACACAAAATTTTGGTATTACTATTTCCTACACTTATTGATTTACGCAAATTCAAATGAAAAAAGTATTTTTATTTAAGACATAATTGATTTGGATTAGGAGACTTACAAAAACAATGAGAATTCATAATTACACATACCACTGAGATTAAACCAAAATATCGATAATCATCCACTCAAAATTTACGTAAACTCAATACAGCATTTTATTTTCAGTTAAACGAAAATCGTATTAGAGTCTGCAAAACATTTTTTTTAAATACACTAGCATTAAACGACAAACCAATCTCTACCGCATTATCCAAAAAAACAGAGAGTGGTTTCGTACAAACAGAATTGCGAGGAAAACATGGTAAACAACGTACTGTAGAACCTGATGTATACGAAAGTCTTAAAACATTTATTAATAGTATACTACGGATTGAATCTCATTATCTACGAGCTCAGACGTCACGGGAATACATTCAGTGTGATAAATTTTTAGCTGATTTATATCGTGATTATAAAGAAGATCGTGTAAAGGAGAACTTACCATTTGCTTCTGCGTCTACTTTTAATCGCATTTTTAAAAGATATTAATATTTCGTTCCACACTCCAAAAAAAGATCAATGCGATCTTTGTGAGAGTTATAAAAATGTATACGAAGAAGGAAAACAAAAGATTATTGAACTTTTTGAGAATCATTTCAAAGAAAATGAACTATCTAGAGAAGAAAAAGGAAAAGACAAAGCTAGAGTTGACGACACAATTGTCGCTGTTTACGATTTGCAGGCTATGATGCCAATACCAAAGGGTCAAATTTCAGTATTTTTTTTTACAAAAGTAGACTTAATTGCTTCAACTTTGCAGTGACTTACATGTTTAAAACGTTGATTGCTTCTTTTGAGATGAGACGGACGGGAAACAAGGCGCAATTGATATTGGAAGTTGCATAATATATTATATACATAAAAAAACAGAAGGTTATCCTGATAAAGAACTTAACTTTATATTTTATTCCGATAACTGTTGTGGCCAACAGAAAAATAAGTATGTCCTTGTAGCGCGTACACTTACGCAGTACAAAAACTGAATGTCAAAAGTATAACGCACAAGTTTCTGATTCGTGGTCACTCTCAGAATGAGGGGGGCAACGTACATAGCATTATTGAGAAGCGAATTAAGCGCTTTCTTAAAGCTAGCCCAATCTATGTACCACAGCAATATGTCACCTTAATCCAGACCGCGAAAAAGACAGGATCACCTTATACAGTTAATGAGATGACTCACGACAAATTTTATGATTTGAAGTCACTCCAAGAAGAATGGGGCAGTAATTTTAATTAAAATGATGACAAGACCAAGTAAAATGGCATGACATTAATGTACTTCGTGTTGAAAAGAAAAATCCATTTTGTTTCTTTTACAAGAACTCCTACGAAGACGAATAATTTCAAAAAGAGCCAGAGATCAAACTTTATTTCCAATTGGTTTTTTTCACGCTTACTTTGAAAAGATACCCTTATGTCATAATAAAAAAATAGATATCAAAGAGCTATTACAAAACCTACTTTAGAAAATTAAATTTGACTGATTAATTTTAATAAAATAATGTAGATTTTAAGGGTAATTTTGTAATGTCATTTACTAATAAAGATTTCTCTGTGATTTTGTTTGATTTAATTTTTTAGATAAAATAAGTGTTGACATTTATGAAATAAAATAAATAAAAATAAATTGAGATAAGTAATTACAGAACATTACATTTTTAAGAGAACAAATCAGCTTAAATTGCAATAACGCAAATTTTCTCGTAAATACCTCCTTAACTCAATATGAAACATTTTTTGTATGCTATATTCCCAACAAAACAGTCCTTACTCAAAAAATTAAAATTACCTTTACCCTGTTAATTTTAAATAAATTTGGTAAGTAGGAAATTGTTTTCGTGTCAGTAAGAACTTTATACTATACGATAAATTTTAATAATCTATCACAGACAGTGAGTAAGAGGTTTTTCGAAGATTCTGAAAAAATACGTTTTTTGAGTTACAACACTACTATTGTAATAGCAGCGCGATATCTCTTAACTCAGCGTGTCTCTTGTCATAGGCCTCTTCCAGATCTTTCCAGTGCGCTCTATCAAGAGCTACTCTTCTCCAACATGGGTCTGCAGTTAGCTTCAACTCATGACGCATCTTTAGAGGCCACATTATGCAAAATAATAATTTTTCAGGGGGAATTAAAGATTCTACGAACGAAATTACTCGATAACTTTTTTATGCTTTAATTTGCTTCATATGGTTCGTATTATTTTTATAAAAGCTTTTTTAAATTATCGATACCTCCAATAAACACTACGCTAACAAAATTTTTTGTTCATCTCTGTTTTTATTATGTTTTTTTCCTTTTTCTTTCTTCACAAAAATGGTTTTTTGTTTCCGTGGTGTTTTGTAATAAAAATTAATAAACTGTAAGTACATTTGCTTGGCCTTGCTCACTCGTTGTTAGCACCCACTCTTTAACCCATTGATGCAGTCCGCTATAAGTATATCAAGTCGAATTTTTTTTTTTTTTTTAATATTTGGAAAAATAATTTTTTTTTTGATACCGACGGACAAACAAGTCGTGCACCTTAAAAACCGGAACGCAGTAATGCTCACTCAGAAATATTAAATTAAACAGTCCTCAAATCGTGATTCTCAAAACTCGCCGATTTTATTTCAATAATTATAATATTCACCGTAACACATCGATTACATACAATCTTTAACAACCAGCTTCCTTACAAAACATCAAAAGCCATTTATTAAGACGGTAGTGTATTTCGCTATAGATATCGATCGTATACAATAACAAAACAGCGCAATTGATTACTTTAAGTCCTCTATCGACGCTACCTAATAAATTTTATCGTAATCAAATCTATTTAGAAGGTTTATCTTTTGCGTGTATGAACTTATTGTTATTATTTAGACTCTGTTCTTCTGTGTTCTACCTCGAGGCTTGTATTACGCGGAAGGTTCACTACACGTAGTAAAGCGAGCCGCAGCGCATCACGACAATGTTAATTCGTTTGTTAATTCTAACAGGTGTTTTATGTACATTAGCACAAAGTGATGGAGTTTTCGAATTGAACATTGTGCATTTTAATGATTTTCATGCTCAGTGAGTACCTTCCTACTTTGTATTTAGTTTTACCTAACTTATTATTTTGCCAAGTGTTACGCACCTTCTTTTTTAAATACTATCAAAATGGTGATAACCAGCAGTGGTCGTAATAGAGGGAGTTAATTTTGCTAAACTAAAGAATAACATGGATATTCCCTTCTATAAATACTGGGACTTTTCGAAACTGATTTAATTTGAATATGCGTATTATTTATTGAAATTTGAGTACATTGGCGATAAATTATTATTTCCTACTACAAATTATTGTCTCAAAAAATAATATTATAGTGGTGTTTCTATAGGTACTTACGTATTTAAATACTTTAACCAAAAACAATCTATATATTGTTGGAAAATAAATAGTAAAAAATAAAAATATAGCATTGATGACAAAATGGGCATGTTCAAACTAAGAAAACGTTCATACTTTACATAAATTTTCCTCAATTCCGATTACTGGTAATAACTTCTTATTCCTTGACAGATAGCTTTTTGAGGATATAAAACAAATTAAATCTATATTATTTAGCATAATTCGTGCCCTTATAAAGCCACATGTGTACAAGCAGTAGAGTTTAATCAATATGACGATTTCAAGAGTAATTGCTTACGAAAAAATATTTTTTTTACTTTGACTTGGACTTTGTGATCATACGTCAAAAGAGATTTTATTACATGAAAGTCATAAAATTTATACGAAGTAGGTACACGCAATGTTTACGTATATTAGATTATTGGGTACACGAAATAAATTATGTACATTTATGTGAAATTCTGTACCTCTCATATTTAACTAAAAATCAAGTTATTGACTAATTTAATTCATAGAATCTGTAAACCTCTTATTCCATTTTGCAAATGTGGCCTTATTAAGGGATAATAGTGTGCGAATTCTTACCCGAGTTAACCCGTCCAAGGACAGTACTTAGCACCGCACACTAAATGTCACTAGGTACTGTCGTTTGTGGCGTAGTGCTTTTATTAGTTCAATATAATTACGCTTTATCACCGAAGGCTGATCAAGTCAACGTTCTTATATAAAAGAAAGTGCGACAATGAGTAGTAGGATGCTTGCCGTTGTGTCATATTGAATTAATAAAAACATATGCGTTTTATTTAATTTTAATTCGAGAACTTGTCATGTATTAAGTCGTGAGTCCTATTTTTTTAACGAACACATTCGACATTGCCCCGCACTAGGGAAACCCTGTGCCGCGGGTGCCATGGACACACACATAGTCAACCACAAATTACACCCAAACTCACGAGAGAAATAAATGTAGGCCATACAAATATTTCTCCCGGCCCGGGAATCGAACCTGGGATCTCTGCGTGGCATTCCGGCATGGTAACCGTTCGGCCACTGAGGCAGTTTATTAAAAAATGTATGAAAATCGTGAAAGTTTAAATCAAAGTATATGCGTTTTAGAGAAAAAAACCTGTTGTTTTTTTGAACTCTTCATAGCGAAACGGGGTACCCCGTACTCTGATGTTTAAATTTACGGGAAACGCCGTTACTGTCCGTGAACGGGTTAAGCATACGAGTTAGCAACATAATGAAACCTTTTGTACTTCAAACGGTTTCTAAATATCTATGTACAATGTAATAACATCTTGTTACGACCGATTCAGCAGATTCCTGCTATCTAATAGCACTTGGTCATGTTGCCTATACGAGATATGGTGTTCAAAATGTGTAAAATCTCTAAATATAGCTTCGATGAAACGAGTCCTAGAGGAACAGCATGTGTCCCAGAAGACGCACCATGCATAGGCGGCTACGCTCGTCTCTACACCGCTATAAATCAGGCAATTGAAGCTGAACCTGACTCCTTGGTCCTCAACGGAGGAGATACCTTCCAAGGCACTATTTGGTATAACTTTCTAAGATGGAATGTCAGTCTGCACTTTATGAATTTGATACCACATGATGCTCACGTAAGTATGGGGCTATTGGTAAAAATAATTCATCTATTTTTAATTTTTATCAACTTGATATCGTCGGTGTTTTGTACAAACGGCGTTGTAAAATGTTTACGTCCTGACGTAAATAGTTTAAGATAGTGGTGAAAGTCTAAAACTCCCCTGAAAAAAACACCGACGATATGACCTGGTCCTCTTCTCCTTAAAATAGAATTTCTTTTAAAATACGTTGCTATTTGCTGATAATTTGGCGCTACAGTCCATAAAACAACACAGAGCAGGAAGCAGTGATATATGAATCCGTTTTCCTTGTGCTGGGACATAGTATTCGGTCGATAAAAAATATTAATTGATAGGTAATTAATTTACTTATTACCATTATAACCGGGAGTCAATACGATACGTTTATTAAAATGGCGGCTTGTATTAAGCTAGATTGTAAAAGGATTATCTACACTGTGACCATGATTATTATTTCGTAAGTTATTAGTGTATGTAACTATAATTTTAGCAAATGAGACTGTTTTCGGATCAAAATCGCGTATATTTGGTTTTTTCCTACAAACCAATGTTTCGGGCCCTTTAATGGTTCGATGGTCGCTAATTGACAGCCGAGTAGGTTTGTTAGAAAAAACAGATATTACTACTTGATTTAGATCCGAAAAAATAGTTTCATTTCCTATGTGTAACAATCGCGAAAACCGAAGAACTCGATAGCTTTAATTTTGTCTATTCTTGGCACCAATAGAGTAACAATGAATAAGCTTTATTTATATGTCACAACCGAATTGTATAACACACTTTATTATAAAACGCCTAGCTAACCGTATTACGAGGCTGCACCATTTTGAACATGTATTTTAACAATTACGTAGCGACAAATTTAATATATCGTACTTCCGGTGAAACACTTCATTTACATTTGCAAAAATTTACAGAAGTTTTATTTCGCCCCCTTGGTGTAGGTAATAAGGCGAGATCTGCAAATTGACAATGTTTCTGGAAAGAGGTTTAAAGATTCTACTAACAAAGTTAGTCGAAAACTTTTTTATGTTTTAATAGGAGTTTTTTTATATGATACCAAGTGACGGGACGAACGTGGTGGTTCGTGGTGGTAAGCGACACGCCTGCCCGTAACAGTTGCAGTGCCGCTCAGAGCTTTAAATCGCAAAGATCTGGAGGGTGATGCCACTGCGCCTATCACCCTGAAACATACAAGTTGACAAGTCGTCTCATGTGCCTGTAATTTCACCTTCACCATTACCCTTCAAAACCGAAACGCATTAATGCGCACATTACTGTTTGGCGGCAGAAATAGGTAAGGTGGCAGTACTTCCCTGGATGAACTCTCTCACATGGAGCTCTACAAGTACCTACTAACGTAAACGAGTTATATACAGGGTGTAAATTTGAGACAGGGCAGCAAGGCCAGCTACCTTAATCGTTGTAGTTACAGGAAAACGGTTCTAGAAAACTATCCATGAATTTTAAATATATTTTTATTGGCATTCGCAGATTCTGAAAAAATGGTACAGTCAGCTAGATTTAAGATTTAAGAGGCAATTTTTACAAAAGTTTTTTTTATGCCATTCGATCCGGTCTCCAGTAAGGATCAATAGTCTCTATGGAACCAACTGAGGTAAGAGTACTCGAAAAAACTTTTTAGCATATATTTTAGTAGCAGCTGAAATTTTACTCGGAAGGAATCCATTGAAAATTGCTGCTAGTCTTCTAGAACCGTTTTCCTGTAACTACAACGATTAAGGTAGCTGGCCTTGCTGCCCCGACTCAAATTTACACCCTGTATATTATGCATATTATACGCATATTTTTTATTTCGATGATTTGTTTTTCAAGGTACTAGGAAACCATGAATTCGACCATGGAGTGGAAGGTCTGTTGCCCTACTTGGAGGATCTGAATGCTCCAATGTTAGGCGCCAATGTGAATACCACTTTTGAGCCTGAGATGGCAGAGTACGTGAAAAATCATGTTGTCATTGAAAGGAAAGGCCGGAAGATTGGTATTATTGGAGTGCTTCTACGAACCGTAAGTTTTCTTAACACATTCGTTATTGAAAGGTTTTTTATTTGTGTTAGTGACTTCCACCGATGATAATTTTGGCCTACCACCTCTCAAGCAGAGGCATTGTGTTCGAATCCGGGCTTTCACCTCTAAGTTCTCGGAATTCATGTGCGAAATTTAATTTGAAATTTACAATGAGCTTTTTGCGAAGGAAAACATCGTGATGAAACCTGCACGTCGAAGAAGGTTCACAACCGCCGTGCCCAGCAGTGGGACATATAAAATGTGTTGATGGTGATGATGAGTTATTGGCTTTGTTTAAAACTATACAAACTAGGTATAATATGTTACCTTAATCTATATTATCTTCAAATTAAAATTGAATTTTCATCGAATCTTTTCTACCGTTACTTTTACAAGTAAGCGTTCCCATTATATCGTGACGACAGATAGTCGTGCAGAGTTAAGTGTCATGGCTTATATATTTAAATGAAGTTGTTCACATATAGTAAAATACGACTAACTGTCGTTCACGACTTTTTTGACGTAACGACGACGACTGTCGTGAGAATGGGAAGAGCCAGAACGACAGTCGTCGGACGATAAATAAGACGTTGCGATAAAAATGTGACGACAGATGATCGCAGCTTCAAATGATTCTAACGTGCAAACAGCAAGGCGGCTGCTGTGACCCGCTAAATTGACGTCGCGACCTAGTGGGAACTGGTTGATACGACAATCGTTCAATGATAAAATAAACGTCCACGACACAGTCACGACAGATAGTCGTGATACGGGTACAGGCTAGACGCGACAGTCGTCCAACGATAAATAAAACGTTACGACATAATGGGAATGGGATTGCATGTTGTGGAAAATAACTCCTTATACCAACCATTCCATAATAGCTTCATTGTATAATTTCAACCAACCCACGGTGTAAGAATTTTGCAATCTAGCGGAATTTAAATCTTAGTAATTACAAAGTAAAAAATATTGCTGCTGCTTTTTATTTATTTACGATGAATTATACAAATAATTGTTGTAATTAAAGACAATTTAAGTTATTTGCCAGCTGTTTGTGCCAAATACACACAGAAACAAAAAAAACCATTACTCACTTTTCAACTCTAATCTAGATACAAACAGTAAAGATAAGAATGTCGGTGTCATTACAATACGTGTTTTCTTGGGTCCATGTCGCAGATTCGCTATATAAGAGTCCGACGATGTTCAGAAGGTCTATGTTGGTTGTAATACGGGGCGTTTTCCTAGTGAAAAACTCGCGATATCTTCTGTTATCTGTGTTGTGAGCCTCTTGTGTCTCTTTAGGCATTTGTCCTATTTGGAAGAATGCACGAAGCAATGACATCTTGTCCGTGAAATAGTACCTTGTGCACACTGACAGGCATATAATACCAAGAATATTCTATATAAACAGCCTTTCTGAAAAATTAAAGAACATTTTCTAATTGTATCTGAAAGCTGAGGCCTTGGACTAAATTATCATGTAATAATATAGACACCTGTATACCTAATGAGGTATAACTAGTTTTTCAGACCACTTTACTTCAGCAACTTCAATATGAAATAAGCTGTTTTTATTTTCACCAGATAGTAGTATAATGACTTAAAATACCTATAACTTCATTGAAATATAATACTACTTATCTTAGTAATAGGTAATGAAATGACCACAAAGCAAAAATATTAAGTAGATGTCATGTGTGCGGCAGTGGCGTATGTAAAAGGATCCACTCAGCTTATGTCACCGCCGAGAAAAGGCTATGACACTGATTTTCAGTGGACCCTAATGTGGTGATTACGTTTACATTATATTTTTGGGGGTGTGTAACAGTTTCCCGCACCTTTATATTTTTCTCGTTTCCAGTTCTCAGCACCAATAGGCAGGGTAATAATGGAGGATGAACTAGAAGCTGTCAACCGAGAAGCTGCTATCCTCACGGAGCAAGGTGTTGATATCATTATTCTGCTTTCACATGTTGGCTACACAAGCGATATGTGAGTAATATGTATATGTGTATATTTTGGAGTAATAAAGTCAAGTATGCTTTTTCCGACCGGCTCAAGCCGTTCACAAATGTGCTAACTCCCTTATAAGAATTCCATTTATGACATTCATTTTCTAACTAGCTAGCTCGATATTTACTGATCACATCAACGTAGCTATATAGACATCTTCCGGGCCCTCCGGCCGCGTAGGAATTTAGGAACTGGAGAGACGCCGTTCATTCGGCATCGCGAAGTGAGCGTGCCTTACAGCTCTGGTACCTATCTGGAAAATGGGGAGGGCGCTGTACGTACACCCGGGGCAGCTCACCTAAGGCACTAGCCTTACAGAGAACCGGATGAAGTGCAAACGGGCTGATCCGGGCCGATCCAGGACTTGACTTCTAAGTCAGGTCCTGGATCGGCCCATCTGGTCAGTGTGAGGGTTCGCTCGCACGGGTCATTGTGCCCTTCCCACATAACCAAGACGTTGATAGGGAGGGGCATTATAAACAAAACTTATGTAGAAAAGTATGGGACTGATCACATCAACGCAAGTAAAAACACTGAATAAACCGTGAAAATTGCCGAAAGCTGTGCCTGTAATTTCACCAGCACCCTTACTCTTCAAAACCGGACCACAGTAATGCTAACATTACTGCTTGGCGGCAGAAATAGGTAAGGTGGCAGCACTTCCCTGGACGAACTCTTTCACAAGGAGCTGTACTGCTACTTTCAATAGCAATAGCAATAGCATGAATTTCATTCAATAGTATTCTTTCAGTTTCAGAGAGGTTCGTACAAGTGGGTCGTATTGATGAGTAGTATTACCTCGCACATAATTTACACATAATTGCTCGCATGTCAAATAATAACGCGTTTAAATTAATAATCTCGTCAGTTATACAAGAATCGTCCTTTTTTTTAAAAATAAATTCTTCTAAGTGGAAAACTAAAATATTCTATTCTGTTTAAGTTTCTGACTTCTCTTGTAGAATTTTGCCAATGCCATGTCAGTCATGGGAGTTACTCTTTCGTTTTTTAGATGTTTAATTAATGAACACTGAAATAAACATATAACATTATTAACAAACATATTCTTTTTTTATATTTATTATAGCCTGGGCTAGTTTGCTCGGGGACGTGCTGTGCATCCGGTCCACCTCGATCCAATCAATGCTTTCCACAGCCGCATCAAAATTGCACTTATTAGATTGGCTGTAGGATCTGGCGAAGCGGGTTGGCGCGGGATCAGGCAGTTGCTCACATGGTACACACCTCCTTAAGTAATGTATGTCAAATTTGTTCTCTAGGCGTTTAGCGCAGAGTGTTTCCCGCGATGTCGATATCATAGTTGGAGCGCATTCCCACACCTTGTTATACACCGGTGAGGCTCCTGACGGCAGTACTCCATTGGGCGAATATCCTACCGTTGTTACGAGAGACGACGGACATAGAGTAAGTACTTAACAATCATTTCAACTATATTTGAAAGGGATGTAAAGTTTAACATTCGGGCGCAGGACGTTTGCGCCGGAATTAATATAAATTCACTAATCACCTTAGACACTTACGCCGGGTAGATATCTTGTTTATTGTTATACAGAAAGTAGACACATGCGCCGGTACTTTGCGGGGAAGGTCCTTGCATCCAACGTTCAAAAACGCTAAAAGTTATTGGCATACGTGAGGCAGTAACAACTGCCTCCGTGGCCGAACTGTTACCATTCTGGATTGCCACGCAGAAGTCCGATTCCCGGGCCGGGAGAAATATTTGTATGGCCTACATTTATTTCTCTCGTGAGTTTTGGTGTAATTTGTGGTTGTCTATGTGTGATCATGGCACCCGCGATACAAGGTTTCCCTAGTGCGGGGCTATGAGTGTTTTGCGCTTAATTATATAGTTTTTTTATAATATCAAGTGACGGGACGAACAAGATCGTGCGCCTGATGGTAAGCTACACGCCTGTCCATAACAGTTGCAGTGCCATTCAGAGCTTTAAATCGCAAAGATCTGAGGGGCACTTCCACTGCGCCCGTCACCCTGAGACATAAGTTGACAAGTCCTATGTACCTGTAATTTCACTAGCACCCTTCACCCTTCAAAACCGAAACACAGTAATGCTGCTTGGCTGCAGAAATAAGTAAGGTGGCAGTACTACCCTGGACGAATTCTTTATAAATTCTTTACTCTATGCTACTAAAATAACATTGTATACAAGAGGCGACATATCGCGCCTCAAGTTTGTTAAATTTCTTATATTTTCCAGATAAACATGGATTGCATTTTTTTATTTTTTTGTAGACAACAAATATATAGTTCAGTATGACGTATTTACAAATGCGTATCTCACTTAATTCAACATAGAGGTATCTACTTAATGAAATTTATGCTGGTCTCTTGCTGCGTTTTCTTAGGCGCAAGTGTCTGCCCCATGTATCCGTTTCTTCAGGTAAACAAAAATTTTTTTGCATGAGCTACAAAATTTTTGTTTACCTGAATGATTATGGTTACATCCCACAAATGCCCTGCGCCCATAACATTTGTTGTATAAGGCCACATCTGCAAAATAACAACGCCAGGGCTATAATGGCCCGAACGTTTGTAATTGCTGTCCCGCCCCGTGTGTCATACAATATTTTCATCACACTTGCTAGGAAGCCGAAAAAAAAAATTAGACTTAATAACGTTTGTAACATTTACAAACTTTTAAGTATTTTACAAGTACTTAATGGAATGGGTCGTCGATTGTTCCGTGTAAACGGTACTTTACTTACATAAATATCATTGGCTCAACACATGCTTGGATGACGGTACTATAGTTCCGCATGATTCCAAATAAACACGTTTAATGTCCTTACAAAAATATACGACAATTCGTATTTTATTTAGATCCCTATAGTGCAAGCGTCGTGCTACACGCGCTACCTGGGCATTATTAAGTTGTACATTGATGAAGCTGGCATTATCGCAAGTTGGGAGGGACAACCTGTGTATCTGGGATCCTCTATTGTGCAAGGTAATGATAACTGTTCCAAATGCGTAGATAAATAAGTACCTATCGTCGCTGTTTTGTAGAAAGGACGAAAGAGCCATTTCGAAACATTTTTCAGGAGCGCTAGGTTTTAACGACTGTTTTAAAATATATACGTCCTGTTTTAAAATTCAGTTAAGTTTAAATTTTAAAATTGAATTTAAAACGGGATGCAAATATATTAAGACAGTCGTGAAAATCTAAAAATTAGTTCCTCAAAAATTTTTCGATGTTGCGCTTTCGCCATCTCAACATAACACCGACGATATTATTATGGATACAAGAAGTAACATGGAGTGTTAAAAACCCCAAAATATGAAGTATTTTATTGAATGTCAGAATGTTTCACCACCATGATATTCATTATGTTTTGTGAAATTACTCCACTAGTTTGTTGTACTTTTTAGCCGTACGAGAAATCGCCATCTATGAGAAATCTATGAAAGTTTCATAGATTTCTCATAGATGGTGCTACGGCTAAAAAATAGTTAAAAATCAGATGCAAAGATCCGATACCAAGCACATAGAAAAATTCGTGAGGTCCGCTGGTTCGTTCCGTGGCTTAGTTGACATAGCGTCTGGCACGATTTGCTAGAAGACGTCGGTTCGAATCCGGCCTGATCGAAGGATTTTTTTCTAAGTGTTCGATCTTTGTATTAATAATTATAACCACCAATATTAATTAATTCTTTTTTTGAAGTTTTGGATTTCCGAAAATAGTACTACTAAATCGTAGGATAAAACTATTCGCCTAGAAAGCTGAACTTGGATTTTAAAGTAGATATTTGTAGTGGTGCCATAACATAAATAAATTCAGTAGATAACTAACCTTTCACCAAAGTCTTTTTTTTAAACTACAAGCCATAGCTTGATTTAACTGATGCGGATATTGTAGATATTTTTATATTCATGGAGTGCAAACCACCCCCCGCCTTAACTGATGGTGGAATTCGTAAACAGTAATTAATTAATATTTAGTGGTTTCCACCACTCTATGCCACTCCTATATGTAGACATTTATCTACTTGTTTGAAACACCTATTCCGTCAAGTGGTGGCAAACAAACTAATTATATAGGCATTCATCTGTTTTGTTATAAGCAGGGATCAAAAGAAGCAAGTATATTTACTTAAACTTGAAGCAGACTTGAAGACAGTAATACACATAGAGTGCATAACACGTACCTCTGAAATCCCGGAAGTATAGTATTTTATTCTTAAAATGTAATTAAAAATTACTATGGTAATGTATTTATAAAAAAATTTTGCAATTGTAAGTAAAAATGTAACAATTTTTGTGGTTTGCTTTAATAAAACTGTTGGACTTTACCATCTCAGTCAGTCTACTACTACAACTACGCCACCACAGACTACTTAGTGAACAAGTCGCGACTATGGAACTTGTAAAGAGCCCCAAAAGTTGGTTTGTTTGAAAAAAACAAATGAGTAGTTACATACGGCTGTTAAAATCGCGCATGTGTGTAAAGGTAGACGATTAGCGACCGCATCGCGTTTGCATCACTTCTAAAAGTCGCCGTGTGATAGATCGATAGATAGATCGGAAAAAATAGATTAATTTGCGATGTTTTTTCATTTCATTTTTATTTGTCTCATTTAATTTAATTTTAAATGTTTTCAAAGGGAGGTTTTATCAACTCTATATGTATTACTTAAAGTTAAATATTGAATATATTGTTAAGATCTTTGGTTGTAAGTAAGAAAATGATAGAACATTTTATTTTAGTCCAGAGTTATCAAATTACTCAAGCTGTAAGCTCTGACTGTAGTTATATTTGTATCACAACTAAAATAAGGAGCTATAAAAATTTGACAGCTCTAAACTAAAATGAAATCTTTCTTCATTTAAGGCCCTAAAGCATCTTGTTGATCCACTTCAATCAATTTTTATTTACTAGATCCTTATATCATGGAGTTACTCGAGCCTTGGCGACAAGAGGTGGACGCAATAGGCAGAGAAGTGCTAGGCTCGTCTCTCGTTGCTCTGAACCGCGGCTCGTGCTATCGCGGCGAGTGTAACATTGGCAGCTGGGCTTGCGATGGATTTTTGGAAGAGGTATGTAGATAACTACTTTTTACCGTAGTATAACAAGGGAGTCACCACAGTTATTACCGCAGAATCGCATTAAGCCGTTCAGAAAACGCTTAATGTCCATGAACGTAAGATGAGAAGGCCATGTTGAGTGTGTGCGTTATTAAAAAAAAAACAGCAGTCGCTACAAATCTCTTTTGTAAATATCTTATAGAATCTTTATGTAAGTTTTAGTTTTATACTTATTTAAATTCTAAATTTAAATGTGATTGTTTTTGGCGCCTTTTCTTGACTTTTGTTTTGCTGTTTTGCTTAGACAGATACGTGTTTTCTAATAAATTAATAAGCTGTAAGTACGTTTGCTTTGGTCTTGCTCACTCGTTGTTAGCACCCACCCGAACCCATTGATACAGTCCGCTACATATTTTTTATTTGACAGTAATTGTTTCGGACAGAGAACGAGAGTAGACCCCTGCTTCGTGCGAATTTCTGATTGCATCCGTACGCACGCCGACGACGACGGCGACGACCCTGGTTTAGAAGAAACAACTGGGGCGCGACGGCGCGTGAACGGCCGCGTCAACGGCGAATCGGCTTAATGCGACAAGTGTGCTTGAACACGACCGCATCAAGACGATTCCGCGTTAATAAGTTTGATGACTCCCTAAGACGACTAGTGCAAAAACCAAAAAAGTAGTGCAACTCCCGCCTGTTCGGCATGTCAATACACGAACTTCGCTCGGAGCGTAGGATTGTCTTACTATTATTGTAGCAGTATCTACCTGGGTAGTTTTCAATCTAGTTTACCTAATTTCAGTGGCAATTTTTATTATTTAAACATACGAGATACTTTAAATTTTTATTAAATTGATATTCAATTTTTTTTTTGTGAAATTACTCCACTAGTATGTTACAATTATTAATACAAAGATCGAACACTTAAAAAAAATTCCTTCGATCCGGCCGGATTCGAACCGACGTCGTCTAGCATACCGTGCCAGACGTTATACCAATTAAACCACGGAGCGAACCAGCGAACCTCACGAACCTCACCTCAGTTTCGCGGGGTTCAATACCTTTGAACCCCGCGAGACCTTCAAGACCTTTCTTATTTCTCATTTATATTAATGATCTACAATTTTTTGTTAAGAACCTTTGCGAAATAGTATTGTGTGCTGCCGACACATCCTTGATTTTTAAAACAGACAGACATGACGTTAACTATGACAATATTAACGACACCCTCTCAAAGGTAGTGATGTGTAAAAACCTACATCAGCAGCAATCTTGGTCCGTATTCGTGCGAAGCGGATGTGCACAAGCCGCGCTGCTACATTTGTATGGGATTACACTACATGTTTTATTGTACTATGTTTTCACCTCTTGTGTCTTGTGTACTTAAACATAAATATTTTTCCGGATTGCAAAATTGTCATGAAAAAATTTAGATTTTTATTGAATATAATGTTTTATCGTCGTGATGTTTATTTCTGTGAAATTACTCTACTAGTTTGTTATAATTATTACTACAAAGATCGAACACAAAGAAAAATTCCTTCGATTGGACAGAACTCGAAACTATGCCAAACAGTGGCCACCACTCTACCAACAGAGCGACAGATCGAGTCAGCCAAGCTTATAAATTTCTATAAGTCTTTGTTACAGATTTTTGTGTTGTTTTTTTCGTTTTTTTTTTTGCCATAAGCGACACCTGTGAGAGGTCTGTGAAACTTCTCACAATGCTTCGAGTCCTGTGAGATCTAAGGAATTTTTCTTTGTATTAATATTTTTTTCGAAATTCAAAATAATTAAATTATTTTACCGTACAAGTTTCCATTACAAGATTTTAGTAATAAATTAATAATATTTGACTTTCTACTTACTCTCCTTAATTTGAAACCCCAGGTGATGATGAAACTCTCAAACGTAAACTTACAACGTGCATTAAATTACTTAAAAACTCACTGCTTGTAGTATATAGTGTAGTAAGGGCTTTAAATACGAAATTACGAACGAGACCATTAGAAGCCCGAAGGCGAAGACTGAGGGCTTTCGGGGTAGAGATTCGTAATTCCCGTACAGCCCGTGAAACATACAATGTTTCTCATCACACTTGCACGTAAATAGAATTATTGCATGCAGGCTAACTTGACTATAATGCCCTAAATAAAACTCTCGGGCTATTTTTCTTCTTATTACAACCATGGTCGTCGTGGTAATGAGAAGAAAAAAGGTAGCCTGCATGCTTTATTGCCCAGTTAGCCTGCATGCAATCATACTATTTACGTGCAAGTGAGATGAAAAGTATTTTAAATTCAGAACTAGTGTTCTTTCACAGGTTATGTTGATGGAGCCGAGACAAGCGCCACGCTGGCACAACGCTCATGTGTGTATGATGAACGCAGGTGGCTTGCGAGCGCAGATCGAACCTGGCAGTGAGTGTACCCTTAGTATATATAATAAAGGTGCATGTGACCATACGTCAAAAGTGCTTTTATAACATGAACGTCATAAAAATAATACGAACTACATGGAACAAATTGCATATTCTGTGTTATTTGTGAAATAAAACAATCTCCCAGGACTATGTCACACTGTTAATACTTAAACTCAAAAAGGGTATATTTTTAAAATCGCTGAAAAACGAATTCCTCGCTTCCCGTGAAAGATTATTCAAATTTCTGTATAGGTTAAAGTTTATTACAGACATCTGAACAATTTCCTAGTGCCAGATATATTTAAAAATAAAAGGACAATTTTGTCCAGACTAGCTCACAAAAAGTTTGTCTCATTTTGAGTTAAGTAGATATTTTTTCATGGTTTTTTACAATATTCTAATTACGGTTTTATTGACATGTAGAGAATCAAATTTTAATTTCAATATATGTATAATCTTGAAATTCACTTATTTTGAGTTACAACACTATTGTAATAGCAGTGCGATACACAACAAAATTTATCTACATAAAAACTACAATGTCCAATACAACCTTGCATAGTTGTGTAAAAATATTGCATTTTTGGGTAACCTATCACAAACTCGAATTTATTTTTTCCGAAATAACGTTTGTTCGAATTTTCATTACCCCGAAAACCGAATTATACTTAACGAAACTGTTCTTTTTTCAGGATATGTTGGATGTTTATCGCAAAGACACGATTAGGTTCGGTTAGGTTAGGTTAAGTTAGGTTTAAAAGAGAAAAAAGAAAAAAAAAAAAAAAGGTTTAAAAGAAAAAACATTTTCCTCTCAAAATTACTTTCGAGATTATGAAAATTTGAGCAAACGTTATTTCTGGAAAATGTCATTTCGGATTTCTGATAGGTAACCCATTTTTTGCCTGTTTTACAGCTTTGGAAATGAAACTTTTTTTTTCAGATTTAAAATACCCTAGATATATTTGTTTTTCAAATACCATCGTTTCAGGTGCTTTACAGGTCAAAGAAAATAGTTTCATTTTCAATCTGCAACTATCGCGACAGCTTAAGAATTTTGCAATTGTAAAAAATTGATAAGCAACGATATCTACGTATGTATTTACGAAGTCTGAAAAAGTTTAATAAAAGTACAGCGAACTGCCTCCGTGGCCGACGGTTACCATGCTGGACTGCCACGCAGAGGTCCTGAGTTCGATTCCCAGACTGGGAGAAATATTTGTATGGGTTACATTTATTTCTCTCGTGAGTTTGGATGTAATTTGTGGATGTCTATATGCGTATCCATGGCCCCCGCGATACAGGGTTCCCCTCGTGCGTAGCCATTTGTGTGTAAGTTATTATCATTATTTTAGATGTTTTTTAGATAGTTTTAGACTCTCGCTTCTCCCATTTCAATTTTGAATGTTTGAATGGCGCAGTCGGCCGAGATCAGGAACCCAGGTTCAAGAACCGGCGAATAATACGTGCCGTATCGAGGCGGACGGCCTTCCACCTATTATTTTCTTTCTATTATTCTATTATTATCTTTTTATTACTTTCAGAAATGTAGTCGAATCTAGCGCTAAACAAAAAGGATAGAGCCTCAGTACCACATTCTGCTTTTCAGTTTCCACCATTTTACTAATTTAATATTTTCGCAGACATAACAACCGAAGGGTTACTCCGAGCAATTCCATTCGAGAACTATGTGCAAATATACGAACTGAAGGGCAAGTATCTTCTAGAAGCACTCGAATTTTCGGTTGGTGGCAACGTGGGTAGTTCGCCTGACCAGTTCAACAGTGGACGAATGTTGCAGATTGGAGGTGAGCTATCAAAAATACTTTTTTTATAGTACCAAGTGATTAACGAACAAGTCGTGCGCCTGGTAGCAAGCGACACGTCTTTCCATAACAGTTGCAGTGCCACTCAGAGCTTTCAATTGCAAAGATTTAGGGGCACTGCTACTGCGTCTGTCACCCTGAGACATTAGTTGACATGTGCCATGTGCCTGTAATTACATATTTTGCAGAACAGAATGTCCCAGGATGTCTCCTTTCCAAGGTGAGGATTACTTCACACCGGGACAGTTGCTTCAGTTGTACCAAGCACAAGTCCGGTCGTGTATGGAGTACTACTGCCACTTATGGGGTGGCTCTGCTAAATATAAAAATAAAAAGAAAACAACTGGCCACCTTGGACATAGTTGACAAGCGTGTCACGAGGCTTATAGGTGACTCGAAGTAAAGGCAAAGCGGCAGAGCCTTAAACACCGCCGTAAACTTACCTCTTATCGGTATTCTACAGGATATATCGCGGAGAGTCTGCGATGGAATTGCATGATTTAATTCCGCCTTCCCCTTTCCGTCATCGGGAGACTA